GGGATAGCTTGAGGCTCTGTCTCAAAAAAAAAAAAAAAAAAAGAAATCAAAAGAGGCTTCTCTGAGGCAGCACTAAATAAAAGGAGTAGAAAAAGAACATTCTAGGAAGAGGAAATAGCCTACATAAAGATCATGTGGCAAGAAAAATGACCAGGAAATTGTAGAATCTGAAGGAAGATCCAAGTGGCTTGGAGCATCAAGGTCAAGGGATAAGAGTTAAAGATGGAAAGGCAGGTGTAGTCCAGTGCCATAAGTAGTATGAAAATTTTAGTGCAGTGGTGGAAAAAGGACAAATTTTTCCAAAATAAAATCAGAACTTAAAACAATATCCAATATCCTCTATTACTGGATATTATATTATTGATATTAATTTTTACTGGAAAATTTTAAAAAATCCTGCTGTATGTATCTTAACTTTTTGCTCCATGATTTTATACATATAAAAAAATAAATTTTAGTCTTACTCATTTTTCATTTTAAAAATTTTTATTATAAATATATGTGATCTATATGTATTTTACTTAATAAAAAATAAATAAATAAGTAAAAAATAATATATGCCTTAGCTCAGTGCCTATAGATCAGCGGCTAGGGCACCAGCCACATACACTGGAGCTAGTGGGTTCAAATCCACCCCAGGCCTCCCAAACAACAATGACAACTACAATAAAAAAATAGCCAGGCATTGTGGCAGGAGTCTATAGTTCCAGCTGCTCGAGAGCTGAGGCAAGAGAATCACTTAAGCCCAAGTGCTGGAGGTTGCTGTAAGCTGTGACACCATGGCACTCTACCCAGGGAGACATAGTGAGAATCTGTCTCAATAATAATAATAATAATAATCAATTAAAAAATAATAATATATGCCTGTAAAATACTAGAACTTAGAAAATCCTATCTCCCAATCCACCTACAAATGTAAATATTACCCATTCTTTCAAATGTACATTTATATACATGTATGTATTTATATGTGTGTATATGTAATTTAAATAGTCATGTTCATATCATAGTGTTCTACATTGTGCTTTTTACATTCACTAAAAATGCAAAAGCCTGTTGATCTATCTTATTCTCCTTGACAAAGGTTTGTTTTTTTGTTTTTTTTTTTGTAGAGACAGAGTCTCACTTCATCGCCCTTGGTAACTCTTGGGCTCTTGCCTCAGCCCCTCCCAAGTATATGGGACTATAAGCACCTGCTATGATATCCAGCTATTTTTAGAGATGGGGTCTTACTCTACTCAGGTTGGTCTCAAACTCTGTGAGCTCAAGCAATCCACCTACCATGGCCTCCCAGAGTGCTAGAATTAGAGGCATGAGCCACTTCCCTGCTCTGTGTACTGGCAGTTTTCAGTAGGGTTTATGCTGCTCTGAGAATCTAATGCCTCCATTGATGTCACAAGAGGCAGGATCTCAGACAGTGAAGCAAGCATAGGGAGAAGCTATAAATACAGATGAAGCTTCAACTGAAAATACAAATGAGGCTTTTCTAGCCTGCTGTTCACTACCTGCTGTCTGGCCTGGTTTCTAACAGGCCACAGATTGGTAGCAGTCCACAGCCTAGTATATAAGACTTTTAAAGCTAATATAATAAAAATCAGAATCACAACATTCTAGTGAGTACCTATTACTAAAACATTACTCTGGAATTTATTTTAGAATATAATATTAATATCTGACAATTTTTTTCTCTCAGTTCCCCCCCCCATCAGTTGTTCTAATACATTGTTTGCATGTCCCTTTTTTTTTTTTCAAAGACTGGAAATGTTACTAAAGTCTCGTATATATTATATTTGTAACTATTCCTGTTTTACTTTCCCGGCTGATTTTGCACCATGACCACAATCTTTCAATTACTTTAATATATAATAGTACAAATCATACTCTAATTCTTCTTTCTAAAAGTATATTTCATCATTATTGCTTGCTTCATTCAAGATTAGACTTTTTGTGAATTTCTTTCCCATACCCCATCCTTAGAGGAATTAAATGTATAAGTTAATTCTAAATTACATCTTCACAATACTGAGTTATCCCATACAGGAGCATAGTACTATCCTTTATTAAAAACCCTCTTTCACGTCTTAGTATAAATTTTGTGTTTTCCTGATATAAGTGAAAACAATTTCCAATTAATTCCTAAATATCTTAGTATTTTTTGTTGCATTTGTTATTGGGATTCTTTTCCATTATGTTTTCCATGTGTGTTTATGTTTTGGTGTGTGTTCCCCCTATTTTCTCCTCCCTCCAACCCCTATCCCTCTTCCCATTTCCTTTGTAGCATTTAGCACAAACTGTAATTATCTTATTTGTTTTCTTATATTGTCTGTCTTTCCCATTAGACTCTGTACTTCACAGAGATAGGCATTATATCCTAAGTGCTGGGCACATAGCAGGCCAACAAACATCTGCCGATTTGGTTACTTGTGCTAATGAACATAACTTATTAGTACCTTATAGCACACACAGCTTTATTTTAGGTCCTAACAAAATCTAAAATTTTTGTCTGTGTTTTCTGCATGGTTATGGTTAATAATTCTATTTTGAAAACTAAATATAGATGGAAGTTAAATAGCTTCTTCAAAAATTGTACCCATAAATGTATATTATTTAATAAAATTAAGTTTAAAAAAAAAAAAGACAAGACCAAGAAGAAAAAAAAAAAAAACTTTTACCTGTGTTTTCTGCATGGTTATGGTTAATAATTGTATTTGGACAACTAAATATAGATGGAAGTTAAATAGCTTCTTCAGAACTCACCCGTAGGAAGCTGGAAAACTACTGAGAAATTTTGACAGATATTCTCCCAGACACATGAATCAGTAACACCAACCTTGCCCAGGTTTGAAAACAGAGATTGATAGATTTGGCAATTTTGCTGTCTTTTAATTAACTGGCATATGCAGGCCATCTTCTAGTAAGACAACTGTTTGTTCTCAAAGGCTACATTATACAGTGATATATTGTAGACATGCTATCACCCCGAAAAGAACACAGTTGTGTCATCACAGCTCACTGCAACCCCAAACTCCTGGGCTTAAGAAATCATCCTGAGGCGGCGCCTGTGGCTCAGTGAGTAGGGCGCAGGCCCCATATATCAAAGGCGGCGGATTCAAACCCGGCCCCGGCTGAACTGCAACCAAAAAATAGCCGGCCTATTGTGGCGGGCGCCTGTAGTCCTAGCTACTCCGGAGGCTGAGGCAAGAGAATCACTTAAGCTCAGGAGTTGGAGGTTGCTGTGAGCTGTGTGACACCACGGCACTCTACCAAGGGCAACAAAGTGAAACTCTGCCTCAAAAAAAAAAAAAAAAAAAAAAAAAAAAAAGAAAGAAATCATCCTGCCTCAGCCTCCTGAGTAGCTGGAACTACAGGCACATGCTACCATGCCTAGCTAATTTTTTCTATTTCACTTTTGCTTAAGCTGGTATCCCTTGCTTGGTCTGATATCAAATTCCTGACTTCAAGGAATCCTCACACCTCACTGTCCCAGAGTGCTAAAGTTACAGGTATGAGCCACCACATCCAATCCCTGTAGACATTTAAAGCAGCAATTAGGAACATATTTCACTTAAAATGTGTTGAGCAACCTCAACGTGGTGCTACTAATGTCAATTGAAATGATAAGTTAATAAAAGAATACCCAAAGCTAAATTCTAGAAATGCCAAGTAGAGGCTCGGTGCCTGTGGCCCAAGTGGCTAAGGCATCAGCCACATAGAACTATAAGGTGGTGGGTTCAAATCCAGCCCGGGCCCGCCAAACAACAATGACAGCTGCAACCACAAAATAGCCGGGCACTGTGGCGGGAGCCTGTGGTTCCAGCTACCTGGGAGGCAGAGGCAGGAGACTCGCTTGAGCCCAGGAGTTGGAGGTTGCTGTGAGCTGTAATGCTATGGCACGCTACCCAGGGTGACAGCTTGAGGCTCTGTCTCAAAAAAAAAAAAAAAAAGAAAAAGAAATACAAAGTAGATGAGTACAGCTACTTCACAATTTACGTGCCTAGAAGCTGATGATGAGTTTCTTCTAACAAGACATATCCTGATTTTAAAAGTGTTAAAATGTGAGGAAAAAAGGGTCTTAAAAGGGAGGAAATAAGATATTGTTGAGCCTAACAAGCATAAACACCACACCAGATGTTTTCTATATTTATCTGACTTAATAGGTCACAAAATTTAGTGGTTCAGAGCAGCATTTGTGAACTTTTTTTTGGTCTCAGAAGTCTTTTAATTTAAAAAGTTCATTTATGGAGTGGCACCTGTGGCTCAGTAAGTAGGGCACCAGCCCCATATACCAAGGGTGACAAGTTCAAACCCGGTCCCAGCCATACTGCAACAACAAAAAAAATAGCCGGGCGTTGTGGCAAGCACCTATAGTCCCAGATACTCCGGAGGCTGAGGCAAGAGAATGGAGGTTGCTGTGAGGTATGATGCCATAGCACTCTACCGAGGGCGAAAAGTGAGACTCTGTCTCTCTAAAAAAAAAAAAAAAAGTTCATTTATGAGGTTGGGTGGAATGGCTCAAGCCTATAATCCCAGCACTCAGAGGCTGAGGCAGGTGGATTGCCTAATCTCAGCGTTCCAGACCAGTCTGAGTAAGAGCAAGACCCCATCTATACCAAAAATAGAAAAAGTAAGGCAAGAGGATCGCTTGAGTCCAAGAATTTGAGGTTGCTGTGAGCTATGACACCACCACACTCTACCTAGCATGACAGAGTGAGACTATCCCACCCCCCAAAAAGATGATTATTTAAGGTAAAATTGCTCAATAAATAGAAGCTATCTACCACAGATTACTCAAAATGCTCACTTGTCTAACTATGCAGAAAATGTATTCTTTATCCTTTAAAAAGTTAAAGTTTTAATTTTACCTGTTTTAAGATCAATTTTCTAAAGGAGGAGGTGGCACAGGAATGCAGCAGAGTTCAAGTGTGGAATTCATTTGTTGAGAGTTAAATATTTTTAGCACTAGAAAAAAAATGAAAATGAAAAATTGAAATGAAAATTTTCAATTGCTAATTGAAAATATAATACAAAGAACAGTTTTGATAAGACATTCAAAAAAAAATTTTAACAAATGGATCCTGAAACTTTCTATAACAATTAGCATACTTGTATACTTTTATCAAATCTAAGAAAAGCCATCATTTTAGAAACAGAAAATCTGAATTTTAGTTTCAAATTTGCCATTAATTATCTATAAGGCCTTGAGCAGGCTACTTAATTTTTATCAGGCTCACGCAAATAAACAAAAAATTCTATGCCTCTAATTTTTGAAATATGTTACAATGATTTCTCTCTCACACATACACTCAGACACACAAAAAAATTTTTTAAATGCTCTTGGTAAAATCTTTTTTTTTTCTTGGTAAAATCTTAATATGCTTATGTGAAAATGAGTTTCATATAACTTTAAAATGTATCATTTAATTAATTTATTTATTTTTAGAGACAGAGTCTCACTTTATTGCCCTTGGTAGAGTGCCGTGACATCACAGCTCACAGCAACCTCCAACTCCTGGGCTTAGGCGATTCTCCTGCCTCAGCCTCTGGAGTAGCTGGGACTATAGACCTCCGCTACAACATCCGGCTATTTATTTTTTTGTTGCAGTTTGGGCAGGGCTGGGTTTGAACCCGCCACCCTCAGTATATGGGGCTAGCGGCCTACTCACTGAGCCACAGGTGGTGCCAAAAATGTATCATTTTTTAAAAAGAATACAGAAAATGCTTCAATTTATGGCATAAAAACATATTGAAAGATTTTTGGTCAGAGAAAATAATTTCAAAATGCTAAAAATAAACACTTTCTACCTCTCTATTCAAAACTGTACCAACAATTTTAAAATCTAAAATATTAATAGAAGGCCCAATGTTGTGGTGGCTCACACTCCTAGCTCTGTGAGAAGCCAAGGCAGGTGGATTGCTTGAGCTCAGGTGTTGGAGAACAGCATGAGCTAGAGTGAGACCCATCTCTACTAAAAATAGAAAAACCAGCCAGGCATTGTGGCAGATGCTTGTAGTCCTAGCTACTTGAGGGGCTGAGGTAAAAGGATCTCTTGAGCACAAGAGTTTTAGGTTTGCTGTGAGCTATGACGCCATAGCACTCTACTCAGGGCAATCGAGTGAGACTCTACATTATCTATAAATAAATAAATAAATAAAATACTAATAGAAATTAATATTTTAAAATACATTTATTAACAAAATATAGTTTTTAAATACAAAGAATATACAATAAAATTCTCTTGGAATTAAATATTATAAAGCCTCCAATTTTTTTTTTGAGACAGAGTCTCACTATGTCACCCTAGGTAGAGTGCTGTGGTATCATAGCTCACAGCAACCTCAAACTCTTGGGCTTAAGCAATTCTCTTGCCTCAGCATCCCAAGTAGCTGGGACTATAGGCACCCACCACAATGCTCAGCTGTTTTTTGGTTGTAGTTATCATTGTTGTTTAGCTGGCCCAAGCTGGGTTCGAACCCGCCAGCCTCGGTGTATGTGGCTAGTGCCATAACCACTATGCTACAGGTGCCAAGTCAAAGCCTCCAATATTTTTTAAACTGAAGATGTGTCTGGACCCTCTACCCCAACCACAGCAGCTGAATCTTCATCTCTTAAACACTGGGCTTTCAGATGAGATTTTTATTTTATCAGAAAATTCTGTAGTAGGGAAAAAACTTTAAAAATACCTCTGGAAAGACATATAAGAGACTAATTAACACTCTGAGAGGGACACTTGGTATCAAGGAAATAGGAATGGGAATAAGCTCTTTCTGTTTATACCTGGTGAATTTTAAACTACGAAGACAACTGCCACATTTTGCAGCAGTGTAAGAAGACAGATTGGAGAACTATCCAGGGAACCTCTGTTGAGACAGTTCTCCTATAATCTTTCAGGGCTAAGGAGACAGATACCTATTAGGTCCTCAATTAAAAACACAAAACACACACACAAAGGACAAACAACAGGAAAACTGAGTTTTATTAACCTTTAGCACTTCAATCCTGACTGGCTGGAGGAAATTAGCTTCTTATCAATGAAAAATAACACTGTCTGGAGCTTCTATAGTTCTCTCACATACAAAGTCTGACAAATGATAAAAAATTAACTATGTAAAGAAGAAAATAAAGAGCAAACTAGACTCGAGAATCAGAAGCACAGATGACTTAATAATGGAGTTAACACATAAAGACAATTATTTAAAGTAATTCTAACTAATAGAAAATAGAGGGGGAAATGAACAAAACTGATGAAAGATGAAACATTTCACCAATGAATTCAGATCTATAAGAAACTAAATGAGCAGCTTGGCTCCTGTGGCTCAAGCGGCTAAGGCGCCAGCCACATATACCTGAGCTGGCAGGTTCGAATCCAGCCTGGACCCACCAAACAACAATGATGGCTGCAACCAAAAAATAGCTGGGCGTTATGGTGGGTGCCTGTGATCCCAGCTACTTGGGAGATGGAGGCAGGAGACTCGCTTGAGCCCAGGAGTTGGAGGTTGCTGTGAGCTGTGATGCCAAAGCACTCTACCCAGGATGACAGCTTGAGG